GGGAATTTCCTGGAACTAGAGGAGAGGTCAGAAAAAGATTATCAGAGGTGGGGGAATAAAGGATTACCAGCAGTGGAGAATCAACCTGACCCCAAGATGATAAATTCCACACTAATTTTGTCAAAGGATAAAATCATATAAGGATGCGTGATAAAATTATATAAGGATGCATCTTGCTCTGGCGAAATGAAGCTTTTCTGCTCATCTTCCTCTATAAAGGTGCCTCTTTTCCTTTTCCTCATTTCTTTAATAAGCTCACTGTGTGCTGAGAATGAGAATGTCTGCTGAATTCTTTCTCGGGGAAGCCAATGAACCCAATCATCTGGACCACACAGAATCTCCAATCCAATCTAACTGAACTGCCTGAAACAATTTTTTCCCTTAACCCACTGTTTAACTTGGTTCAAAAGTTTCAAGTCATCAAAAATCTGAGAAGCTAGTATTTGCTAGAGATTCTTATCATTTTAAACCTCAAGCAAGTTTATCTTCAGGCTTCCCACAAATGACTCCATTTGGGGATTGCTTCTTTTGGTATTAGCCATAGAACTAACTGTATCAGATCAATTCAGTTACTTTCCTTATTGGATAACCATAGTTGTGAGTTAAACATGGAGTAAAACTTTAACACTCATTATTATAATTCTTAGAATTATGCATGCCTTAAATTAAATCACTAACAGTTCTCATTTACCAAAAATCCTAAATCACGACTTCCTGAAAAACACTAGGTTAGTTTCTATTTTATTAGAATTTATAAAACATTTGTAACTCAATTTTAGAATCAATTCTATTATTGCCATCCAGAGATGAAAGACACAAAGGGTAAGACTGACAACAAAAAGCATTGATACAGAGATTTCCTAATTTTCTTTCAAAACTTCAGCCATGTGTGGGGCCCTCCCTGGTGGTGAAATGGGTTAAATAGTACTGTGAAGCTATCTGCAGCCACTGCAACACACGTTCTATCGGAGGCCAGGGAGGGGACCCACATGGCGCAGCAGACTCTCCTATCTCTCTTGCTACTTCCCCTCAGCAACGTATTTCAGTCTGCTTGCCTGTTCTGTTCCCCACTCTGTCTCTGGTGAATCCCCTCACCAACCTTGCTCCCCCCACCCACCCACCCAAGTTCTTACATGCATAAATAAATAAATCTTTAAAAAAAAAACACTGGCCCTCCCTGGTGGCGCAGCGGGGTAAAGCACAGCACTGAGAATCTAAAGCCGCTTCCTCATGAGTTCGATTCCCGCCTGCCCCGGAGGTGACCACATGGCGTGGCAGACCTCTCCTGACCCGCCCGCTGCTCCCCTCAGCAGTGTATTTCGTTGATCTGCCTGTTCTGCACTCCACTCTGTCTCTGGTGAATTCTCTCACCCTCCACATATCTGGCCTGTATCCCAGTTCTGTATGCACAAGTAAAATAAAATCTTTAAAAAAAAAAAAAAAAACACTCAAGCCATGTGTACCACTTTTAAGAAACAGCTATTTTACCAATATTTGTGAAGACATTAGAACTTTTGTTGATTCGATTTCATTATTTTAAAAGATTTATTTACTTAGGCACAGAAGAACTGGGGTACAGGCCAAATGTGTAGGTTGGGGGAGGGGATGAGAGGATATACCAGAGACAGAGTGGAGAGCAGAAAAGGCAGATGTACTGAAATACACTGCTGAGGGGAGCAGCAGGCGAGCCAAGAGAGGCATATCATGCCATGTGGGTCACCCACCTCCTGGCTGGGAAACCCTAACTGCGGAGGCTGCAGACAGCCCCACAGTGCTGGGGCCTTAACCCATTGTGTGACCAGGGAGGGCCCTGTGGATTCAATTTATAACCAGTACTTACTAATCCCTTCTGACAAAAACATAACATCCTTAAATTTGCATTTCTGAGAATGACTTTGATTCCTAAAATGGAGACTGAAAATCTGCATCAGATTCCTAAGGCAAAATCCTTTATTTTGGATGGATGGACTTGGGAGGGGTTTCTGGAGTCATACCTCAAGTATGGCAAAGATTCCGTTTTTAAGATATGGTCAACCTGATACCTCAAAGAATTTAGGCTGTAGCCTTTAAGTTTAATAAATATATGTATGTAGCTACATTTTTTCTCAATGTACTTTTATATCAAAGAGATTTCCTATATAAGATTCATACATGTCAGAATGTGTCCTGACACTCTTAAAACTACTAGTGTCCTAGATTAGAACTATTCCAAATAACCATAGAAATGCCTTAGTCAAACTACGGATTTGCAACAGATAAACGAGGTAAAGTCTTTGTTCAACCAAGGGCAGTTCTCTGAAAGGTAAGAGCAAACACCTTATTCAATCCTATGATTTATCTTATGAAGAACACAATAGATTGATGAAAATGGCCATGAGGCCAAGAGAGACAGACTGAGATCTACTTTCAGATTGGTCATAATATTCATCAACATTCCACTGTTCTGTGACCCTAATCAGTTCAAAATTTGAGGTTTTTAATTTAGCGTGTAAAAAGACAGTTCTGGAATTTCATGAGTTCTCTAGTGGCCATGGTAGCCTTAAGGGAATCTTTGATTTAATGATCCAATTTATTGATGAGATTTTGTAAAACTTCAGGGCATAACAAAGATTTCAAGCCTAATTTGTATTATTGTTTATACTTTCCCTATGGAAACTCAAAATAATTCTCTGTATTTCTTCTCTATAATTCCCTTGTCTTCACCGATTTCACTTTTTTCCAGTATGAAATTTAGACTGAGAAAACTTGAAGTTTTTTTCTTAATATACTTAGTAGTAAATAATTTAGAAGTTTTATAACCCGTGGCTGAAGCCAAAGACTGTTCCAGGTCTACCTATAGACCTAGATTGGGGAGCTGGTAAGGATAAATAGCCCCAGGGAAATTACCAACAAAGTATAACATTCTGGGGTGGAAAGTGACGGTGTTTGGGATTCAAATCTTTTCAGATTCCTGTCCCCACCACACCAATCTTCTACTAGGCTGTTGGCAGGTCTTAGGAATGTGGAGAGGCTCCAGGCAGCCAAGCTGAGAGGAAAAGTCCTGGAGGCTTTGCTGGTAGTGGAGCAATGGAAACTGTCCCCGGTTTTGCCACTGTTACAGCCTGGCAGGGAAAGTGAAGAACTTGCTCAGGTGTGTGAATGTAGGCTGTTTGCAGGCCATTCAGGCATTGTGCTGCTCTTTAGAGTGTCCTGAGTGTCACCTGTCAGGTGCTGTGCTGGGGCATCTCAGCAACCCCAGGGATGCGGTCATGTCATCCTGTCATGTCTTCTGCTGTCTTCCTGGGTTGGGTCCTACAGCCTGGCTTGACACATGCTCTGGGCCCACTGGAGCAGTAGGGTGCCACCCTGGGAGCGTGTCCTACTGTTCTGAAGGGCTCCATGTCTTCAGTGGCAGGAAAATGCCATCTTTGGATTGTTTGCATTTAGGACTTTAAAAATACTGGACAGTGGTTTGGCTGGCTGAGGTAAACAGCTATTTCTGGCTTCATTAAATTTCTTTTTCCCTGATTTGCTAAATAAATCCCCTTATTGCTGCTCTCTGACCCTGAGTAGTCTTGCAATTGCGTGCACAGGTGAACTCGGTTACTGATAAACTAGATGGGCAGTGTCTTTGGCCAGTTCTAGTGCTCCTTGCTTCCCTGTATCAGTTTGTCCAATTTAACATCTGTTCAGTCAACCAAAACCTTTTTGAAACTTAAAATCCAAAGTAGTTTACTCTGGAGGCACCATTCCTTTCCTCAGGACTTGGAAAACATGAACAGAACAAACTGCACTTCAAGGTAGAAAAAGACCATATTTCAAGTTGAAAAACATAAAACAGCACAACCAAACACAGCTCAGGAGTTCTTATTTTTCAAAACAAAATATTCCAGAAAGAATAGTCTTGCATTTGAATACTAAAAACAAAAGTCTTATGAGGGACACCAAAGGAAAAAGCTAGAAAGACAAATACCTTCTTTGGAGAGCCAGCTAAAGTTGTGGGAGAAAAAAAAAATCACTATGTCAATCAATATAAAGAACAAAAGTTCTTAAAAGAGTCACCCGAGAAGCTAGCTTAACTGATATCCAAGTCTCACTTTCCAAAAAAAGTTGGGACCTACATTAATGAATAGATTCCAAGTAACAGGTTTGAAGACAAATAGGAAAGGTTGAAAACATATAACTCCCTGGGGTTAAATAACCAATATTAAGGGTGAAAATTCTTTAAAGCCAAAAGGTTCAATACCAATTATTTTACCCCAAAACACTTTTGTCTTATCCACTTAAAATTTAGAGAGAAATAAAGAGATTTAATTATCTCATGCCTTCTTGCTTCGTGGATAGAGATTGAGTCTGACTTCGTAAGAATTCTTACCTATCAGCCCGCTCCGCAGACACCCAGGATGTCTTTCCTGGGCAGCTTTCAGAAGCAGCAAGTGTTCAGCCTGTAAAGTATCTTCTGGCTTGTTAGACAAATTGCACGGAAGCAACGGAAATCATTCTGTGCACCTGTGGGTTCTCCTAGACTGGCAAATCATCAAGCAAGCATCAGAGTGCTAAGTGTTCTCTCTGGTTGATGCTTATTTGCCAGCCTAGAAGAACCCACAGGGGTAAGGAATGTTTTCCTGTGCCCCCTTCCCTCGCTCCCTTTCTAGCAATGCCCCCATCAGATGCCTGAACACCGGTGACCGAGTAAGCCCTTCACCAACTTCTGTACTTTTATTTTTAGGTTGTCTGTGTTTTTCACATTTTTCCCCCTGACCAACTTCTGTACTCTTGAGCCTCACACTGCACTCCAAACTCCTTTACCTCTTCTGCTAACCCAATCCTTTGTAAACTTCTCGAAACATGTCCTCACAGCCACAGCCTCAGGAGTGACTATAGTGTCCGGCCCAACCGCCAGGTGCCGGCCCGTACGGTGCTGGCCGCGCTCCCACTGCCCACGTCGTGAGCACACGCCGGGATCCCAGCGTCTTCGTCCCTGCAGGACGCGGCCGTCGCGCTCCCCAGCTCGCACGTACCCCCTCGGTCTTCATGTCCAGGATCTTCTCCACCTCGAACACATCCTCGCCGTCCTCCTCGCTATCCCCAACGGCCTCCGCCGTCTTCGTGGCTGCGTCTTCTTCGCCCACGGTTCCTACCGCTTCTCCGTCCCCTTCGGGAGATTCGCCGTTTCCGCAGGCGCCCGGAACAGGAGCTGCAGGCACGCTCGCCCCATCCGCCGCCGTCGCCATAACGGGAGCCCCACAAACCGCCAAGAAAGTGAGGCGACGACACACAGCCCGGCGCCTTCTTGTGCTCTTCTCCCAGCCGGGTTCCACTAGGGCAGCGTGACGCGCCCCGCGGGGAACCCGCCAATGGCTGGACCAGACCCTGGAATGTCAGGCGCACAGACCAATGAGGGCCAGGCGGTCGCCTGCGGGAAGTGGATGGGCGGGCCTACCAGCTCCGGGCGGAAGGGCGGGGCCGGAGGCGCGGTCTCGTTGGAGTGGGCGGAGCGACTACTTGAGAGAAAGGGAGGGCGGTAGGAAAGGCACCCGGGGGCGGGCAGAGGCCGTAAGGGCGGAGCTCGTCGGGATTGGCCGGGGACAAAGGAGTGGGCTTCAGCCAGGGCTAGGTGGCCGCTGGTGCTCGAGGCGCCATCCCTGGCGGCTGGAAGCTGGCTCTGTACTCCGTTGGGGCATGGCGGCTGAGGCTGAAGGGTGGACATTGCGCCTTGGATACTGAGAATCGGCAGCGCCCGAGCAGCTCCCTCCACTCGCAGTGCGCGATGGGCCCGGGCCGGAGGCTCCACCTCACCCCCAAGACTTTCTAAGAAAAGAATACACCTTAAGAAGGATCCGAACGGGTGGGGAGAGCACAAGGCACTATGGTGATGGGACACAGGTGAAATGGCGGAACTACCACCGCCCTACTACAGGTGTAGTTCACGGGAACTACACCTGCGAGGAGAAAGCATACATTGTACAAAAATGGAGAATGATGTAAAATATATATAAAGTAAAAAAGAAAAGGATCCATCTACGGAGGAAGCGGAATGACCAGTGCAGAAATTGTATAATATATACTTGTAAGACATACATATATTCAATATGTAAATATATATTTTTGGTTCTTTTAACGTTATGTGCAGGAGCCAATCAAACGTAACTTAGAGTGTGATTATATATTAGTTATTGTTTAAAAGTAGTTTTTTTTAAAGTATCAAGCTACAAACGTCTTTTTCAAGTTCTTTTATTGAAAATATTGGAGGATGTGATAAAAGGACGATCGCCCTAAGTTGCTAGGAAAATCCACTGAAGGTTAAAATATTCTTCTGCTTCGAATTGTAAATATGCAAGTGAAATCTTTATGGCAGCAAGCTTTTTCTTTTTGTTTATTTGGTGGACTTAATTTACAGAATTAACTCTTGTAAGTGAATTCGCTGAGGTTAACCAAAGGATAATTTAAACTAACGAGTAAATAACTATGATCTGGCATATATGCTAGGCATTAGGAATAAAAAAAATTAATAGGTGTTAATCTTTGTCTTCCAGGGACTTCACAGTCTATAAAGGAAGATATGGAATAATTCTGATAATTTGATAAATATTTTAAAATAAGTTATATGTCACAGCCCAGTAATACCTGATGGGGAAAATGTCTTCCAAAAGAATTCCAGCTAATATTTGAAGAAGCAAAGACAGGAAATCATAATGTTTCATAAAAATAATTCAGACAACAAAATTACTGGGTTTTGAGTGATAAGAAACTGAATGCTAGAGTATCCCTTCACAGATTATTAGTTGAAGAGGAAGTACAAGTTAATCACTAATCAATGTTAATGTTATTAAAAGTAGATCAACCAGGCTCTATGGCTCCTACTCACAGAAAGCTAATTCTTAATCTTCTCAGAACTTTAAATCTAATTTCCAGTTTATAACAAATGTGGGCAAAGAGAAAAGGAAACAATCAGATAAATCTACAATGTGGGACATCCTGGATGACAAATGGTGCTATTTCTTCAGCAAATCATAGGCAAAAGAAGACAAAAGAGAAAACTTCTAAATTTATAAAAACTTGGCAAAATATTTTATATCTTCATAAAAATATATAAAATAAAATTCCTACATCTCAAAAGTAACGTGGCACATGACATATAGACTTTTGTCTCTCTCTCTCACACACACACACACACACACATATATATATATGTACCCATTTATATAATTATGTAGATGTACCCTGTTGCACATTACAGCTGCTCTTCCAGCACCAAAAGGAAGCTACTATCTAGTATTCTCCACAGGTCTCATAGATAATAATGAAAGCACACAAGAAACTGCTTTTTGGGAGTTTGAGGGATAAACTGGCTAGGAGATGAAGTTTTTGTGAATGTTCTCTAACTGTATGTATGGGTACAGGTTTGTCAAACCACCACACATACCATGACAGTAACTATTAATGGAGATAATACTGAAGATTAAACCTTAGGCCAAATTCTGGGGATGGAAAATGTGTGGAAATATCTTATCAGAGAATGATCTCCCTGAAGAGACTTGATGCTGTGGTAGCTAAAGAAGATCTGATAGGCAATTGCCAGAACCTTTTCCTACACCATACATGAAGCCCTTTAAGTGCCCCTACTGAAATTTTAGGGCCAAAGGACAATGGTCACATGTTTTTATAGAAGAGAGCACCAGGCCTCTTTTTTTTTTTTTTTAGATTTATTTATTTATTCGTACAGAACTGGGGTACAGGCCAGAGATGCAGAGGGTGAGAGGATTCACCAGAGACAGAGTGGGGAGCAGAACAGGCAGATCGATGAAGTACACTGCTGAGGGGAGCAGTGGGCTGGTCAGGAGAGGTCTGCCACGCCATGTGGTCACCTCCGGGGCAGGCGGGGATGGAACTCATGTGGAAGTGGTTTAAGCTTCTTTGTGCTGTGCTTTAGCCCGCTGTGCCACCAACACCAGGCCTCTTTTAAGACTTTGTATTCAGCTTAGTTTACTGTAGACTTGAAATTAGATCTTTCATAAAAGTAGCACAATGGCAAAAAAAAATCATGTGTGTGTCCTTTTTTGAAAGATGTGTTTCTAGAGGTGGAATTTGTTTTTAAAGATTTATTTATGCATACAGAACTGGGTACAGGCGAGAGGGGCAGGGATGGTGAGAGGATTCACCAGAGACAGAGTTGGGGGCAGAACAGGCAGATTGACAAAGTATACTGCTGAGGGGAGCAGCAGGTGAGACAGGAGAGGTCTGCTGCGCCATGTGGGTCACCTCCCAGGTGGGCAGGGGATTGAACTGGTGCTGAAGCTGTTGTGGCTAGCTCCTTAGTGCTGAACTTTAATTGATCATGCCACCAGGGAGGGCCAGAGGTGGAATTCCTAATAGTGAAATGGACAGATAAAAGAAGGTCATGATTTAGATTTGGATACATATTGAGACTTTTTTTTTAAACCAGCAGATGGTTCTAAAGAAGAATCTCTTTGCTCTTTGTTTCTGGGTTATAAATTTTTTAATCCTTAAGTCTAATAAGCCAAGAAAAGACAAACCAGCAAAACAGAGTCCAAGAACTGACTGGTTGACCAATAACGATATAACAAATATGTTAGATTTAGATGGTTTGATATGTAAATAAACAGCAAAAGGAAGATCAGTCAATGATAGCATCTCCCCAGAGTCCTTGTTCAATACACCAAAAGAAACTATATAGTGTGAGTTGTGGAGTATCATTTGTAATGGGTCAGTTATAGATGAAGCAGAAAGAGTCATAGTCTGCAGCTGTTCCTAAGCTTTATACCTCATCATGTTGGAGACCAGTCCCAATTATGGAGGTATCCGGAGGCGAGACAGGCAGCGCCCTAAAGTGAGAAGGCGTCTGGGAACAGAGATTCCAAAAGGGGAGAGGGGAGCTGGCACTAGGAAGACACAGGAATCAGGGTTGGGTATAAGTCTTCCTGCTCATTCCCTCACCAGGTCTTTATTTATACTGTGTAGCAAGTAATTAATTGCAATAATGCATAGAATAAGTTAATGAGAGATCCCCATAAATTGTCATAACGCTCTCAAGGACAAGGGGAACAAAGCATTTTTCTCTTAACATTTTATGGCATACTAAATTACACATTTTTGTGATAATTGTCATGTCATGAACAGAGAGGTGGGCTAGGAGAACAGGACAGAGTATAAACAAAGGATAAACAATAATAGAATTATCAAAAGAGTTCTAGGTATCTTCAAAGGAGATTACATGCATTTGGAGTCAAGAAAGAAAATCTAAACTTCTTTGGTTCTCCCTGGTGGTGCAACAGGTTAGGGTGCAGCACTATAAGCCAGCCACAGCTGCTTCTGAGCGAATTGGATCCCCTGGCCTGGAGGTGATTCACACCACACAGCATGCCCCTCAGCAGTGTACTTCTTCACTCTGCTCCCCACTGTCTCAGATGTTTAGTTACAACTCCAGGGAAGAGGGGTCTGGGAAAGGATGAGCTTGTTAGCAAAAGGTTATTAGGGGTCTTGGGGAAGTAATAAATTGTGTTAGCAGTGTTATCAGTGATGTCTAAAGAAAAACTAATGTCTAATTTAAGGCTAGCA